GAAGAGTGGGAGGAGGGGGAGGGAAATGGGAGGCGGGGAGGAGGCGGAAATCTTTTTTTTTTTCAATAAAAAAATTATATTAAAAAAAAAAAGATGCATGTGATGCCCATGAAGTAGCTTCTTGCAATTGTTATTAGCACAGTTATTTAGTATGTAATGATATAGTCTATTCACATTGAACTTAATTATTTTTAAAGAAATTCTCAATATGAGTTGTATAATGATTGACAGTTACTATTACTGTCTATTAATATTAATGTAGAGAAAATACCATGGTAAAATGTCATGTATGCAAGAATATTTCAAAAAATTCCACTAAGGCAATTAATATTCTTCAGGTATCAGGTAGCATCCTGATATAGTTCTTGAGAATTACCTTACAATCCCTCCTCTTTAAAAGCATTTATAGAAAATTATTTTAAATTCCATGTAATAAACTAAGGAAGAAGCTCAATTTATATTTACATGTAAATATAAATATAAATTGTAGTTATAGGATTCCACATAGTCTTGAACTCACCTAGTCATGAAAACTATTGAAAACTTCTTTTATAAATTGTACTTTTAACAATTATGATTTACTGACAGTAAACACATTGTGATTAAGTATAAGAATTGTCATGCATCACTGCATGTTTTTATCTTATGTTGATACCAAATAATTCAACAAAATAGGGAAAAACTGAAAACAAATCTACATATCTAGGACTTTGACCTTTAAACACACACACACACACACACACTCATGTACATGCACGCATGTGCTTGCATACACAAACAAATACATGGTCTAAGGACTTGGTTATCAAAAACAAGTATGGCTCATTTGATCTGGTATTTTCAGTTAAATATTTCAAAGGAATCACTCTTAAATGCAAATCATTGTGAAATGTATACATATTTCCATTAGTTATTTCTAATAGCTCACTCTATAATTTCCTTCCTCCTAAAACTATGCATTGAATATTGAAAAAATGTAATAACTGTTCATTTTGATTTTCATATAAGAGTCATATTTTCTCAGACCAGCTAAGGTTGTTGCAATGACAATACACACTGAATATGACTTACATTCAATGTCAAGATGCATGCTTCTCTGGTGCCCACCGATCCTACTCGCAGCCTCACAATCATATCTCCCTGAATCCGATAACTTCACATCTCTGATGTGCAGTGATGAATGTCCCCGCTGCCCTTTGACTTCAATTCGGCCATCTGGGCTCTGTTCACAAAGATTCAAAAAAGAAAGCAAGATTTTGCCTGTGTTGATGGAAAATGATGCACAAATTATTCATATTTATCATGTTAGATATCAATAAAACATGATAACACATTTAAAAATCAAAGAGCGTAATTTCTGTATTTGCTACTTTAAGGTATTCAGCTTCTTATTTTACATGATCAGCTGTAAACAAAGCACTGACATGTAGGGTACCCTTTCACAAATATTTTATCAACTATTCTTAATTATCTTTTTGCTGTTCTTTTAAAGCATTTTCTCCTTTAATTGAAAATAGTTCCTTTTCCCATGCAATATATCCTGTTTCAGGTTTCCATCCCTCAGCTCCTCCCAGTTTCTGTCTATGTCCCTTCACTTCTGGGTCTTCATCCTTTATGTCTTTTATTAGAAGAGAACAGAACTCTAAAAGATAATAATAAAAATAGAAAAATAGTATAAAATCATCTAAAACAAGCAACAAAATAATATTAAAAAAAAAACTACTGAAGCAAATCAACAGAAAGAAAAGAATCTAAGAGAGGGCACCAGAATCAAGAATCCACTCATTCACACACTAAGGAGTCCCACAAAAACACTATACTCAAAGTTATAACATACACAAAGGATCTGGTACAGACCTGGGCAATCCTGTCCTTGCTGCTTTGTTCACTTTGTTTGTGATTTCTTATGTGATGGAACTCAAAATAAATGTCTATACATTTCTGAAATTTTATCATAATTTTAGGATAATCAAAATTTACCTCATATAAAAAGATGCTTTTTCCAAACATTAAACTGTTTGTGGGCAAAGTAAGATCCATTTTTGTTGTTGGATAATCAGATACTGACAGGTTACTTAGAATTTGCTTTCTATCAAAAAAGCAGTCCTCTCAAACAACTTTAATAATGACTCCTACACCAAAAATATACTTTCTGACTCACAAATAATAGTAAAGTGTACTTTAAAAAATATGACATTTACCAAATTATAAAACTGAAGAAAAGAATAACAAAATGCAAGAATTCATACAATTTAAAAAGAATGAGAAAACCAAAAAGTCATGTCTTATTCAGCAGAACTAGCCTTCCTTCAGTAAGTACTTAATTCTCTTGGTTTTCACGATTCCTAAATTTGTTCAGTTTTTTCATGGTTTCCTCTCTTTGCTTCTATTTAGACTATCCACGCTGACCCCTGACTTTGGAGCAATTCCCAGACTGTTTAACCTGACCATTATCTCTATTCGTTCTCCACTTCAAGACCATGGCCGTTTGATGTACATCCCAAATCACCATAATTATACCTAGACTCATTGTTTTGAGATAAAACCCTCAACCTAGCCCAGGCTTTCTACAAATTTGTGATATCCCTGCCTCTCTTACTGGTGGAATTACAACAACAATATTTCCAATAGCCTGCAGTTATATGAGTCTGGCATTATCTTTATCCTGACAACTCAAAAAGATCTGGTTTTCTTTTTGTGACAGAAATATTTGTCATGCCCTGTAAAGTATGACTTAGTTATGGTTTTGAAATTTAATTATTAATGACTTGTGAAATGGGATTCTCCTCTGCATGCTGTGAATACCATTGGTTAATAAAGAAACTGATTTGGGCCTGCAAAGGGAAGAGGGGTAGGTGGGAAAAATTAAACTGAATGTTGGGAGAAAGAAGAAAGAGTTAGAAGAAAGAGTAATGGGGCCTCACCAGGCACAAATGCTGAGAACTTTACCAGTTAAGCCACAGCCATGTGGCGATACACAGATTATCAGAAATGCGTTAAATTAAGATATAAGTGTTATTCAATAAGAAGCTAGAGCTAATGGGCCAATAAGTGTTTTAAATAATATAGTTTCTCTAAGATTATTTCAGGTCTGGGCTGCTCAGTGGCTGGGAAACAAACAAACACGATACCTTACAACAGAATTTTCTAAATGTAGAATACCTAAACCTGTCACCATCCTCAGCTATTTTCTTTCTTTCCCTGTAACTTTGTTTCAATCAATCAATCAGCTCTGTGCTCCACTTGTCTTGTCTCTACTTGTACCTCTTTGAAAGAAATTGATGTTTCTCTTGATTTAAGAGGGAACAGGCACATTTTTAGTTTTAACACTACGCAGAACAACTTTGAAATTCTGCAAAATGCACAGACACATTTCTTATGTTTTTTTTTTTTCTGACTGAAACCATATCAAATGCAGAAAGCATTTCTTGTGATGCTAGGAATATTTTTATCAGCATTTTTTTTATTTTCATAATAACTCCATGAATATTTCATCTCACCTTGGCTGTGTAACTGCAAATATCATGACTTCCTGAGTAAACTCCAATCCTTCAGCTTGACAGTTAAGGACCTCTGTGTGTTATCACCTTTCTGTCCGAGCACATTTTACAATTTGAATACCATCAACTTGAATTATTTCAAATTACTTATACTGTCCTGAATATCCTGTACTCTCTAAGTACTCTCACATCCTTGTCTAAAACTATTGCACCTTTATTGCTGCCAGCATCTGTATTTGCACTTCATGATTCTTCTATCTTTTTTATTTATTCACTAGATTTTATTAACTATTCAAAATAATCTTGCTTGCCTGAAATAGGAGTACAGCACCGTTGACCTCTACATCTTGCTTGGGACCAATATTTTTACTAAATTACTTTCCAAATTGCAGCCACTATATTGCACAGTAAAACTACAACTGAATAAATGTGAGAAAATTTCAGTTTTTTTCTTGTACATATACCATAAAAGTGTATCTAAAACAGAAAAAAATCAAATATTTTGTAAGTCAAAATAATTAATTTAAAAGTGACTAAATAGTGCAATATTTATGGTGTTCTTTATTAAGGATTATTAACTTGTATTGGGCTTTATTAAAATGAAGCAAACAATTATGTTGTTAATAATGTCAATGATGCAATCAAAGAGATATTTCAGCTAGAGACTTCATTGGTTGCTCTTCCAGGTGACCCATGTTCAAGTTCCACTCATGGGTACTGCTAACTATCTGTAACTGCAGTCCCAGGGAATCCAGACTTTCTTTTGACCTCCAGAATCACTGTAGCCTCCACAAGCATTTCATGCCTATGGTATGTAGAAACATGGAGCCCAAATACTAATACATATATAATACAACACAATAAATATTTTCTTTGAAAAGTCAGTGATTAGTAGCTGTTAAGAAAAGCTTGGACGTTCACCTTCCTAGACATGGACGGAGGGGGGAGGACCTTGGACTTTCCACAGGGCAGGGAACCATGACTGCTCTTTGGATAGGAGAGGGAGGGGGAGAGGAGGGGGGGG